GCTGGAGGCTTTGGCCTGGTGATTGCTCCCAGGAGCTTGTGGTTGCTCTCTTGTGACCCCGCCTGGCAAGGGTTTGGGTTTTTTGATTCTGATATACTCTGAAATGAAGGCTGGATGACTCCTTGCTAGAGTGTGGGCAATTGGCTTTACCCTGTGGACTTATGAATCAGTGACCACTAACCTGCCTTGAACTGTGGGCCATGTTGACTTAGTTTAGATGTATGTAATCTGTATTCCTGATTTATCATTGCTCATGCTGGATTAACGTTTTCTACTTTAAAATTATGTTGCCAATATTCTAACTGATGTTTTAAAAAGTTCAATGTCAATTAAACGAAATCACTGTAAAATGCTCCAGTGACAGGAAGCAGTACAGGAATTTCTTTGCATCCTGATCTAATGCTGGTTCAAATTTTGTCAAATGTTTTGCCAATAGTTATATTAATGGAATAAAAGTAAGTGATCTGGAGCTGTTTAATTTTCTTGTCTTGTGTGGCCATCTGTGTACAGGGAAGGGGAAGAAAGTATGGACCCTGCCACTGTTTCTGCTCCACCCTACCATACACTTTGTATTTCTGGTTATCTGGATTGCCGTCAAACACGTGTTCATAGCATCAGCCGCTACCATTCATTCTCATCAAGCGTAGGATATTTCTCCAGAATTTCCTGTTGGACTTGAGTGACTATTTTATATATTGACCACTAGTGGCTGGTCTCCTACACAAGGGGAAACAGTATCTCTGTTTATAATGAAAGGGTTCGATAAGATAAAGACCTCCATTAAGTCAAGCCTTGTCTGTTACAGAGAAAAGAGCCCAATTCAGTTTCAGGTTTCCAGATAATTTTTACTCCTCCGTCTTTTTTCATGCTGATGATTTTCTTTATGTGACTAATTGTGTTTTCTGGTCTTCACATCATGAAGAATATAATGTTTTTTAACCAAGGCTGTGCAGAACTTCCAACTTCTGATTCTAGCTCTTTAGAAGTGAATCCCTTACTTACAGCACCAAGATTCTTGAGAGATCCTGTCATCTTCATCCTATGAGAGTCACATCCAAGGCCAGTCCTCTCTCAATATTGACATATTTGTGGATTAGCAATATACAGCCCTCTAGTTTAGTTTATTAGTGAAAGACTCCTGTTATTCAGTATGACACATATTGTGGGTTCAGGATTTGGTGTTTAGGCTGTAGAGTGAACTGCCACCTGATTACTGTATGAGGAGTTGGCTTTTCAGAAGAAACTCAAGTGACCAACTTTCCGGCTTCTGAGGACCACATGACTGGTTTGAATGAGATTAGCTTGTGCTATGATGCACTTTGCAATGTGGCCTACCAGTATCGTATGGTCACATTTAAAACTTGGAAGTACTGCAGAAATGGCAGCTGTCTAAGGAAGGCTGGTAAGTGATTAGATAAAACTCATGATGAAAAGAACAAAATATTACTGGTTGCACTCAACAAAAGGTTGTAGTGTCAATAGATTAATAATGCAGAAGCCCAGGTGCCCGGCTAGGGACAAAGAAAGGGACCTTGCCCTAGTAGGATTTGAACCTAACAGCTTAGCCTTTCTGGTGTATCTGAACTTCAGATACTGAGCAAACTGGCACAAAACCCAGGCACAGGCTGTGCCCTGCCAAGATATTGTCATACTTCAAACATCTCCATTATATCCATATAGCAACACCCCCAAGTCTCAGTCCTTCAGGGAATCTTACATACACACTCCATCTGCCCTCTAGCTTTTGTAAACTCAGAAATTGTTCCTGCTCTTGGATTCTTGCCACCCAGTGTTATTGATGTCAGCAGGAAGTGAGATTGAACTCTGATCCTTCTCCGGCTCCATCTGCTGTTAGATGGGGATCACGTTTGAACAGAGTGCCTGAGGCTGTGAGATTTCAGTGATGGAACTCTCATGCTCTTCTCCCCTGAGACAAGAGTGGGAATGAGAAGCAGAGCCTAAAGCTGCTGTGAAACGCTCTCCTCAGAGACAAAAACCATCAAAAATTTGATTTCCAGTCATTTCTGAAAGTAGTGACTAGCTCTTAGGTAGAAATACATTCTCAGGGTTGAAATTTCACCAAACATGCAGAAACTCCTGCAGCCTCCATGACAACACTTCCCCCAAGACAAAATCCACCCACAGCTATCTCCTTCATAACCCTGTATGCCGCTCTGATCTGCAATCAAACACTTTCTCTCCATACAAATGTGACACTACCCTGCTCCTGCCAACTTGGGCAGTGGTGCACAAATCTGGTATCTGGTTTTGGTAGAGCCTATGCGTTATTCTAATCCAGACAGTAATGAGAAAATTCAAAGTGATATACTATAGCAACAGTACATGGCTGGAAATATTCCTCTAAGATTGAAATGCTCCCTTTCAAAGCCTGGAAGCATATGTTCAAAGTCAAGCCATACAACACATTTAAACTGCTCAGCAATTCGGATTAGTTGTAAATCTGGGAGTCCTCCTAGCAATAATCTCGAGCAGCAAACTCACCCAACAGGCTCAGTGGGGAAATTCAGATTAGAAATTAAACCTGTAACAGATAGAGGGAACTAAAGGGTAGCCTAGTCTACATTGGCTACAGACAATTCCTCCAGTGAGAGAAGCTGCATTAAAACATCTGCTCTTATCTTCATACTAGCCTCAATGCCAAAACCCATGCACGTCATACATACAATTGAATTCAACACTGCCAACTCTAATTACGCAGGTTTTTGGAGATTTTTGTTACACAACCTGATCTTTGAGGAGTGCGATGGAGGAGAAATGTCGTCATTTGTGGTGTTTTGGAAATTTCTACCCCAAAAGGTTGTAGATGCTCCATTGCTGAATATACTTTTATAATAAGGATTAATATATTTTTAATCTTGCAGGGAATCAAGAGATATGGAGAGTGGGTGGGAATGGAGTACAGGCAGAAGACCAGCATCGACCACATCAAGCGTCAGTGCAGACTTTACCCCTGTTCTTATTCCTAGTTTGACTAACGACCCTGTTTAGTCACAGCCTTTTGATTCCCATCTCCAATACTGTCATTAGTCATAAATGGTAATATTAAAAGAAGCTTCCAATTATGTTTGAACCCTTCACAGTTTTTCCTATGGGGGTATTCTGACAGCAACACATGGAAGAGGTGTCCACAATTTCTGGAGACTTCAGATCGGAATCCTACAGGGTTGGTAATTTCAATTGCAACTTAAAAACAGCAAGTGTTGTTCTGTATTGCTGGCATAGATAGGCAATTTAATGCCCAGACCCCCCAACCTATAATCCAGAAATATCTTACAGTTATCTCCAATCAGTGAACATGCTCAAATAATTCACTTGCCCCTGAATCAAGCATCTCCTTCAATGGAAGTTACCAGTATTGTCCCAGGGCAACTATCATTAAAAAGTGTTCTGTGGCACTCTGTCCTCCTGTAACTAACTATCATGTAATCCCTGATTCTGTGATAGGGAATGGGTACAAAGACAAGGATTAGATATGATTTTATCCATGATTGTTGTATTGGGAACAGTGAGGCCATGAGAAACCAAAAGATTGAGGATATAGCCACAAATGTTGGTCAGGCCAATTACATGAATAGAGATGAGGAATAAAGAAGAACAGTGAAAACTCAATTTTTTCCAGTTTATTCACTTTACCAAATTCTCAGATTTTAAGATATAAATCCAAGCAGGTCATCCATCTCATCGGCTACTGACCTTATCTTTCAGTTTTCTCTTTAGGTTCCAGGAGCATGCTACACTGTGAATGTTGGACCAACTCCTGTTTTTCCAAAACAAAACCTCGGCATCAATCCAGAGGAGGGATCTTTAGACAATGAAAAACTTGCACTTAAATTATTTGCATTTTGCAGCAAATAACATTGATTTATGTTTAATGACTGTTTTAATATAGCAAATATGTCAGCCACAACAGCAACAACTTGCTAAATACCAGCTGATCTGGATAAATATTCACAGTCGTCAGAGAGAATTTTCCTTCTCTAGTGTTAATGCCATCAGATATTTACATGCACCTCACTGGGTGGATATTGGATATGACTTCAGCTAAATGTTCCATCTTCCAAGCAGCACCTTTATGTAGCAGTAGTACTGCATTAGAATGTTAACCAAGACAAAAAACTGAAGCATCTCGAACTGGACTTGAGCTCCCAAGGTGACTCAATGGCAAGTGCTTCCATATGGACTTTTGGAAAGTAAGACCACGAGATGCTCCTATCATAATGTTTTGATGGGGATCCAGTGATACCCACAGCACAGCATGGAATACACGGAATGAAAGTTGAATGCTCAAAGAACTATTTCCATTTTTGTTTACAAGTTCTTTAAGTTAATTCAATTTAAACTTCTTTAAGTCAATTCAAATAAAAAAAACGAGATTGTAGATAGCAAAATTACAACTCCATTGTAATTAGACAACAAACATTAGATGCAAAGTTGATTAATTTGAGTGGAGCCAGGTGAGGTAGAAAAAGGGAGAAAACCTGCTCCCAAAGTCACTTCTGGGTAAGAAACATTTCGTGCAAGACAACGAATATATCTGTAAAACTCAGCACTCAAATGAAGCAGCCAGGGAGGCAATGGCCTAGTGGTATTATTGCTGGATTATTAATCCAGAGACCAAGATAATGTTCTGAGTTCAAATCCCAACACAGCAGTTGGTGGAATTTGAATTCAATAAAAAAAAGTTTGGAATCTGTAATAACCATGAATCTGTTGCTGATTGTCAGCAAATCCCATCTGGTTCACTAATGTCCTTTAGGGAAGGAAACTACCATCCTTACCTGGTCTGGCCTACATGTGACTCCAGACCCACAGCTGTTAGGGATGGGCAATAAATGCTGCCTCAAAAAGTGCTGCCCTCATCCCATGAATGAATAAAGGAAAAAAAAAATCAAATCAATGCAAGGAGACTGACTAAATATACTTTGAGGGACTGTGCAGTTTACTACTTCCAAAAGGGGAGAAAGAATAAATCCACACTGTCCAGTAAAAGCCGTGGCCCATACACAACATTTATTGTGTACCATCTTACAAAATATTTAAATATGTCAGAGCAAGTGTACAGCTTCCAGCTGAGACAGACTTATGTACATGTGCTCATGGCAAACAAAGAGGGGAGACAATTATTTTTCTTCTTTCTCATGATGATGTTTCAAGTTTGGTGGGCAAGAGACTGAGAAACGAATCCGGTTGCAAATGCATTAAAATGCAGCCAAGTACTGTGACAATCAATATTATTATTATTAATCAAATAAAACATTAACTTTTTGACACAATGTATTTGAACAGAGCAATATTATAAAAAAAATTAACATGCAGCCTTGATTTGACACTGCCACCATGATCCTGGTTTTAACCTGGGCAATAGCTTGCATTGCATAAACAGAAACATGTCAAAATACCTGAAGCTCTTCCGCCCTGGAGGTTTGGTGCAATACAAGCCAGTCGGATACTCACAATGCACTAAAAAGGTACCCATTACATTTATGCAACCCTAGGATGCTGTCCTGTACATAATAGGTCTATATATTAAATATCTGCAAAATGAAAAAAACATGCATACACAAATTACACAGCTAAGCTTTACAGACTTGATATGATTTAAATGTCTTTTCACAATGTACAAAATTCAATTAAAAGTACCTTTCAATTAACATTGTGTGTGGGCTATTAATTCAAAATACAGGTTAAAACTTAAAAGGGGCCAGAAATGTAAATTTAACAAAAGCTGGGATTCTACGGGCCAATGTCTTTCTGGGTTAAATAGCTTTGGTTTCTTTTAAAGCAAGAAACATTTCTACAAACTACGATGCAGCAGTTGTAGCACAGGCTTAATAACGTCCGATAGAAGGAATAAAGCTGAGGTCAGCATGTTATCAGGCCCTGCCATCCAATAGATTTATTTTTGGCATTCTCTAAATTTAAAATACATAATCTTGCAGCCTCAGAATTATTTTTTAAGACCATTCTACCATTTAAAAACTTGTCTTTAGTAGACATTATTACGAAACAATGTTCAGCAATAAATAGTGGCTCTTCAGCATTAATTAGGGTTTCTGTTCAAATTCTGATTGGAATCAACTAAAGCTATTCAAAGATTGTAAACTTAACAGGTGTTGAAGTCGATGGGCGTGAGATGCTAGTCTAGATGTGATTTAGTGAAAACGGTTATGCCTTTCCAAGGGTCCAGAAGTCTTGAATATATGCTGCATGCACATGAATCTTCATCTACCACAGGCCGTTCTCTCAAAAGCAGGATGGCTTTACCATATCTGATCATTTAAAGGTCACCAAATTTGTTCAGTCGTTCAAAAAACAAATGGATAGATTGCTTTGGCTAAGAAACTGAAGCCATTTCAGAAGCTGTGATTCAGGGAGATCTCAGGCAATTGGAGCATGAGAAGGGGAGACAGTCATTGTATGTTGCTGTTGCCAGTTCCATTGTTCTCGTTAGTATTTGACGCATTCACTGAGTTGATACCATCTTGCTGGGTAGCATCCTTCCTTGGAGGCATTCGCTCATTAATCCTGTCCAGCCCTTTAGCTTCTTCAAAACTACAGATTTTGTGTTGTGGTGAGAATCCTCGGATTGCTTAATGAAATACAGAATAAATGAATAAAAGTGGTGGAAATGGGACAACAAAGTAAATTTCTTATAAGCAATAAAATGAGCAGCTCAATACCAAAGGTAATGGAGTCTTAAAAATTTAGTGTGCATTGAATGAGACATTTCTATCATTCACCAACATAAGCCTGTTACTGGACAATCCTCCATTTTACAGGACAGAAAAAGGGGACTGAATACATAAAGGAGAAAGTACAGAGCACCAAAATCCTTACAAATTATCAGAGGACAATCAGAGAAAGCTACAGTGCATACAAGGGATGGATTTCCCTATATGTTGGGGTAAGTGACTTGCTCCTGTACTGCAAGGTACACCAAAACAGTAGAAAAATCAAATGCAAAATCTGACAGAAATCAATGTAAAGTCCAGCATCAAAAAACTGACATTTTATTCATCCTGTGGCCAGTGTGCTTAATAGCCAAGATTTCTTCTTTCCTGGATCACAAGTAATATCATTCTTCAGCAATCATTGGAACAGTTTTAGTTTTTTTTTCCAGTTTGAAAGAAAATCAAGCATGTGAACAAGTTCATTTTTAATTAATTTGATTTGTTTTTGCTTTTGCAATCAAAATTCTTAGCCAATCTTTGGGATTAAATTTCCAAGTATGTGCAATTAAATAGGAGCCTCATCACCATTTTTTGTAATATACAGCTGACTGGAATCTATTGTAACATTGGACCCAGATCAATCTTCAGGAAGGAGAGGGGAGGAATGGAAGCTCAATTTCTGGCAAATAATTTTAATCAGAGACGACAATTTGGTGAGTTTGATTTCAAATAACTTTACTCAAAAGGAGACTGTTTTTAAAGCAAAAGGTACAATTTTAAAGGGTTACAATGTAATCATATGAAATAGCTGGCTCCATTATTGTATGACTGCTGTTTAATGATGTGTCAACTGAGCTTATACTGATACACAAGAATTTGCTACACGAGAATTTTTGAAAGATACTTAGCTATTTGATTCATAGATTTGACACAGCGGTTGATATAAGTCAATATCACATTTAGCAGTTATAAAGTCTATTTTAAAAGTCATTTATCACAGGAAAATAAGCTGTCTTGAATACCAAGTCGGCACCTTAGCAGTTAACTTAGTTGAAAATATCAACACCAGGCCCTTTAATCAGAGGGCTTGCATGAAATTTACAGTGTGAAGTCTATCACCATTAACCTTGCACAACCAGGCAGATGTGTTGCAAACACTATATGTAAAGACAAGGAGCAACCTTATTGTTCACAGACTGTAAGGAAGCTGAAGGCCCATTTCATTGCAACTTTCAGTAAGGAGACCTGAAGAAAGCCTATTTAGAACTTCTTGGATAATTTTTTCAAACAGCCAAGTTTTCATTGATTAATTTGTTCAAGAATTCACAATTTACACAACTGTATCATCAAATGAATTAACAAAATGCACAATTTATAATTTATGAAAGTGAATAGAAACTGCCTCATAAGACAAAGAAGCAGAAGTAGACCTTCCAGCCCATTGAGTCTGCTCCACCATTCAATGGGATCATGTCTAATTTGATAATCCTCAACTCCACTTTCCTACCTTATCCCAGAACCCTCAAACTCCTTACTGATTTGAAATCTGTCTAGTTCAGCTTTGGTAACAAATTCCACAGATTCTCTACCCTAAGAAATTCTTCCTCATCTGTCATAAATGGATGACCTGATGTTCTGAGATTATGCTCTCTGGTGCTAGATTCTTATAAAGGGAAACAACCTTTCCACAGGTATCCTGTCAACATCCCTAAGAATCCCATACTTCAATGATGTCATCTCTGGTTCTTCTAAACTCCAGTGACTACACGCCCAACCTACTCGAGCACTCCTCCTCATAAGACATTTCTTCCATGGCTGGGATCAACCCACCAACTTCTCTGGGCTGCCAGTACGTATTTTTCTATAGATAAGGGACCCAAAACTGTTCACAGAATTCCAGCTGTGGTCTGACTGTTGCTTTGTATAGCTTTAACAAAGCTTCCTATTTTTTTTTTAAACTTCACTCCCTTTGAAATAAAGATCAACATTCCATTTTGTTTCTCTGTTACCTGCTGAATGCAAGGATGCCCAAATCCCTGTTCTGTAGCTTTCCCTATTCAATTAACGTTCAGCTCCTCTATTCTTCCTGTCAAAGTGTATAACCACACACTTTCCCTCTGGCAAGCTTTTTAACCATTCATTTAAACTGCCTAAATCCCTTTGCATGCTCTTGTGTCACCCTCACCACCTGCCCTCCCACAGATCTTTGTCATCTGCAAACTTGGCAATTGTACAATCACTTTCCTCAGCCAAGTATATATATTGTAATGAACTGTGGCCCAACATCAATCTCTGTAACAGTCCACTAATACAGGTTGCCACCCTAAAAATGCCCCTTTATCCCAACTCTACCTTCTAGTAATTAGCCAGCTGTCTATCCATGCTAACGAACTACTCCCAACACCACTGGCTCTTACCCGATTATGTAGCCTAATGTGTGGTACGTTATTGACCGTCTTCTGGAAATCCAGATGTATTACAATTACTGGGTTCTCCCTTCATCCAGTTTGTTCCATCCTCAAAAGAGTTCTAATAACTTTGTCAGGCATGAAGGAAGCCATGAGGTCTCTGCTTGACTATATTATCTACTTCTAAATTTTCTATTACATTCTTTATAATGGACTCAAATCTTTACGCACAACACACATTAAGCTAACTGGCCTATCTTTTATTTTCCTCCAGCCTCATTCTCCGAAGGGGCCTAGATTCATTACGTCCTCTCCTCCATTTTATATATTTAAAGAAGCACATACAATCCTTTTTAATATTACTTGCTAACTTATCCTCAGTTTCTTTTCTCCCACAGTTTTGGCTTTTAAAACTTTCTCAATCTTCTAGTTTACACTAATCTTTGCTACAGTGCATGTTCTTTCTTTCAAGTTGTGATTATTGTTAACTTCCTTCATTAGTCATGGCTACTTTGTCCCTATTCCTAGAATGCTTCTTCACTAGGAAATATCTTTGTTGTGAGTCATGAACTATTTTCCTCTTGCCCCTTCTAATGTTCATTTGAATGCTACAGAGTTATGAACCCACAAATGTTACAACAATCAACAGTGCCCCTTAGTATGTCTGAGCTCAGCCACTCCCTGGAACAGCTTATGGGCAGGAGGATGATCTGTACTTTAACTATCTGAGAACAATCTGTGCTTCTTAAAACATGTGCTTTTGAAACAAGTAGGACAAAGAATGAGGCACAGATCGGTGAGATCACCCAAATTTAGTTCCAAAGGAAAAAAATTGCTGGAATGGGAAATCACCCTTCAGCTCACTTACTATCAAGATGATGGTGCATTCGTCTTTAAGAATCTAACAAACATGCAAACTGTTTCAGCACTCTCATGCAGTAACTTCAAACACTGGAAAGACTTCACGCTAACATGCAGAACTTAAACTAATGAAACATGCTCCATATAAATTGGCAAGGTTGTTCAAGAAATTAATCATATACCAAGTCACTTCCACAATATTACCTCATACAAGGTAATATAGACAGTGAGACGACTAAACCTAACTCACCTTTGCAAAGGAAAAGCATGGTATTCCTCAAAAATATTCTCTATTCACAATAAAAATGAATGAGAGACCAATTCAAATCCTGCTTGTGCAAGTTAAGATCCAGAAAAAAATCTACATCATTCTCACCCCCACTCCCCAAAACTCTGCCACATATCTCTGATTTCTGACACACTGGGCGTACCTTCATCAGCCTCAATTGCCTCAACTGTGGCTGTACAGAAGTGAGCAGTTGCATGCAAAATGAATGAGAGAGATGAGTAGCGTAGTATTTCATAGAAACAGCAAGGAACAAACAGCAGCATAACATATTATTCCCCAGACAGAACCATAATTAACTCCAGATTCAGGGCGGCAGCTTTAGTATGCAAAAGTGTTAATACACAATACAGGAAATAGAAATTGGAGCAAACAGTGTACAATTTATAATTTGTTGAAAGCACAGATGATACTTGTACTGTAATGCAAAACAATATGGAAATTAATCAATTCAGCTCTTACTTTAGTTCTGTCTTTTATCTTAGCCTCGAGAGAAAAAGAATAGATAATGGCTCATGCATAATTTTATATTGTAATGGACATGAACCAAAGCATTTTTGGTGTGGAGCATGTCACCACGTCCAAAAATCAGTCTATTATGTATAAAACATTCATGCCAAAGCCTGAGTAACTCAGAATGAATCAAAATTTATACACCCAGAAATCTGCACCAAGATTGGAAAAAACCTTTACACGTGACAGAAGCAAAATGAATACGAAATTGGCCGATGATAGGAAACAGAGACTAATAGTTGGGTGGATATTTTTTGGGCTCAGGAAGGCTTGTACTGGAGTTTACCAGGGGTTGTTAACAGGACTCTTGCTTTTCTTAATACATATTAGCAATCTGGATCTTGGTGTGCAGGGCACAATTATAAAGTTTGCAGATGATATGAAACTTGGAAGCATTGTAAACTGTGGGGAAAGAGTGTAGAACTTTGAGTGCAGAAATGAGAGATGGTGCCTTTTGGCTGGAAGAACATGGACAAACAATATAAAACAGGGGACACAATTCTCAAGAGGTTGCAGGAGTAGAGGAGCCTGAATGCATATGTGCATACATCATTGAAGATGGCAGGACATGGTGAAGAGTGTAGTTAATAAACCATTGTGTTCTCATTAATAGGATCATAGAATACAAGAGCAATGAGGTAATGTTGAACTTATACAGGGTATCTGTTAGACCCCAGCTGGAGTATTACACTATAGAAAAGATGCAGTGAACACACTGGAGAGAGTGTAGAGGAAATTTACAAGAATCATTCCAGGGATGAGAATTTTCAGATGCGAGGATAGATTGGACCGGTTTAAACGATTCTCTTTGGAGAGAAGAGCTGATAGTACTTTTCAAAACCATGTGTGG